ACAAATTTCTAGTAGGCTTAGATTCGCAAAGTATAATACAAAGATAAAGAAGCGGATGGCTGCCGAGCGAGGAACATGTTGCTTGTGTCATAGACGCATATACTGAGGAGAATTTATTGTATTGCTATCTACAACTTTTTGCAAATATTTTTTATTTTACAGAAACAACAATTCAGAACCTCGAGCTCTGCGACATATTTAAAAATCATCAAGTATCAATCTAAACAATTGTCTATTTTTTTTTTTTTTAGATTATTTAAAAGAAGATATTAATAATATCGTGTATTTTAATAAATCATCCATTTTTTTTCTAAAGATTATATTTAAATTACTTGATAAATTATGTTCCATTGATTAGAAACTTTCAAAGGAACATGAAATTTAATATTCTATTTTTTTCTCTTTTCAAGGAACACTATTTAAAAGAACATATTAATAATATCTAGTAACACTTGATAAATCAGATTTCAACTCTACTGATCAGAAAACTTTCAAAAAATTTAAACCCTGCAATTTCCAAGATGGAGTCATTAATTTTATTTGGTGTGCTACCATCACTCAAACAGTAGAGTAGAGTGTGCAATATTCACTCTAAAAACCTTTCTCTCCTATGCAACGCTCTCTTCTCTCCTCCGATCACGATCTGTGCACTTTCTGTTCGCTTTCAAATATTTCTGCCTAGCAATTTTTCATTCGGTTAAAGTCGTGTACGTACGTACTGGCCTCCATTGCGTCAAGCTAAACAGATAACAGATAACAGCGACAAATTCATCCAGCTAATTCAAATGCCTCTTTGTTGCAGAATGCACGTTCGGCAAGCAGATACGGGAACTGGGCTCCACCTGGTTCGCGGATTTAGGCCCGCCCTTTGGAGTCATGTACTGCATCAAATGCGAATGCATTCCGGTACGTATTAAAGTGGGTGTGTCCTCACGCATTCGTGCGTGTCTGTGTGCACGTATCGGGTCCCCCCTGTTCGTTTGAATCCGACCTTTAACCCTCTCGCGGCGAGGGCTAGCCTCAAGCCGCGCACGTACAACATTACGTTTCTATATAGCCAGTCGACCTGACTATATAGCGATTTTTACGGAATTCACATCGACTATTCGTGTAGGTGCACCAGTGCCGGGACACCTTGTTTCTGCTATATAGCATGTTCCAAAGTTTTCACGATTTCGAATTTATTTACTCCGTTACAGAATTGGAAGTTAACAAAGGCTTAAAAATTAATTTCAATTTATAAAATTACAAGTCAGCTAAATATCTTGAATTTATATGTCTAAATGAACTAGTTTAAATGTTTTATTTAAATTTTCATCCGTGTAAACGGTTTATAAGCTTTCACTTAATTTTCTGCCGTCTTAAAATGACGAATTGAAAAGTGAGAAATTCACAAGTCGAAAATCTAAATAAGCCAATTCGTCCTCCCTGAGTGACAAATTATCATGGAAATTTCCTTGGTTTTGATCATGTCATTCCTACCAATTCCTAGCAATTGATCATTCATATTAATAATCAAAGTTCACAGATTCAAGTATAATTTTTCTTAAACTCAACTCAATTAATATCTATCGTGCACACCTAAAAGTTACTGATTATACTATATAAGTTCAAAATTACAAAATATCGACTGTTGCATCTTCTTTTTTCTTTCTTCTTGAATTCGAGATATGTGAAACGTATACGATTTACTTGAAAAGAGGTCACAGACCGTTTAGAGTGTTACAAGTGTTTCAGCCATCACTTGCTGATGGAATTGAACCTGATCGACATAATCGACACTTTCTCGAATTGCTTCTACCAAGAAGGTCATAGGAATGACATTGCCCTTTGAAGAGCGCTGTAGTTGGACGTGATACACGCCAGGCACGGACTAAATCTCGATCTGGGTGACGTGACCCAAGGAGACTTGACGTGCTTTCTAATCCCATTCCTGATCCGAGACAGACTGGCGTCCACTTCTTCAGCTCGTCCACCGCTATTGCACAGTACGTGAACGAGACACGTGTATATTGCCCACGTATCGTTTTACGGTTTAGATTATGACACGTCACACACCACGTCCTTTCAATCCTGCCAAGGAATTCTCTCGTTTCCTGTACTTGAACACAAATCTCGAGTTCGAATCTTCGAGTTGATCTGATACTAGATGATTATAATATTCAGTTGTCTTGCATGTAAGAAGAATCGAGATGTTTATACATTTTTAGGAAAAATTTAGGATATAAATAATCCAGTTATACGAATTATACAGCTGAAGGAGGACGAACGATCGAGAAGCAACTTTGGTGTCAATTAAAAGGATCGTTATTGTCTCGTTTCTTTTCGTCGATGATGGGTTTTGCCAGTCTTGTATTTCCGACGCAATCGTTGACAAGCCGCACCTACATTCGATTATACATTTTGTCACGCGTACGTGTCCACCATCATTAATGAGGGGATCACGTTCATATAATGTGAAGCACGCCGAATTAAATCGGTTTCACTTTTGTCTGTCATCTTTGAGAGTCAGCTATCTGTCTCTTTGTTGTTGCTCTACGTCTCTCCCTTTGCACGAACGTCTCTCTGCGGAATAAAAGTGAAATATAATCAATGTACGTGAAGAATTCTTTTTTAAATAAACACAGTGCGAGAAGGAAATTGAAAACGATCCCGACACGCGTTACTCGACGTGATGAGAAAATCAATTCCATTTTGTTTGGCATTCTTACGGTCCAGCGTTGCTTGAATTCTTGTCCAATCGCGTAATAATCGTCATTTGCATTCCACGCAAACGCCGCTTTGCTGTGTCCTATATATATATATATATATGCGACCGAATGATAACGTCATTTTGTCCACTGGCACGTCCCTTACGCGTGTCATCGATATTCTTGCCCTTCTCTCCCCGTTGCGTCTCGTAAATATCGACATTTTTCAACCATGCGGTCGTCAACAACTTCCTTGTTCATTTTTGCATTTATATGAAAAATTACGCATTCTTTTATGGACTTTGGTTTTTCTTACCTTTTTTTTTTTTTTTCTTTATATGTTTTCTCGCAACGCAGCATTCATTTCCTGAAAGGATGTATCGCTTGTGTCTTTTACGATCTAATTATATCAGAATCGTAAAAACATTGTCTGCACGTTTTATTGCTCATTCGTCATTTAACCAGCGGCATTTACTAAACACTCGATATTCACACGAGAGATATTACCATGGAAATAAAGTAACGCGTAGTATTTGATTTATGAAAGAGGCACGGTTACTAAATTGGACATTTTTATATATATATATATAATATTTCTTGCAAACTTGTAACAATAGATTCAGCACTAATGAGCATGATTTTGAACAGATAACAGTAGACACAGCGCATGGTTCTCTTCCGGACTTTCTCGAGGAAAGGCGAGAACCTGAGTTTTCTGCTTCGTTTAACCTAGCCTAGTATACAATTGTTTCTTTTTTTTTTTTTTTTTTTTCAAATTGCTTCTAATCAGTGATCTGTAATTTTCATTCACTTACGTTCCTTATATCTCGCTTTAAATGTGTTGCAGTATATGTATGAGAAGCTTATTATTAAAGGACGATCCTATATCCTACATTTGAAATTCTGAGTTTCACTTTTTAGCTTTGGTCTAAACGTATGTTCATAAAATGTGTTCAAAGATTGTCTTTTCGTTTATTTTAGTGTGTAGATTTAATTCGTATATATGGACATGCATTTACAACACCAAAATGCAAAAAAAGTCAAAATGTAGCAGTCCATTTAACAAAATGCCCCACCGCGACAATTACGAACGTAACAGTGATGAAGACAGGTTCTGATATTTTATTAATTCCGTTGTCGACCAGTGAAAAAAAGATATAATTATATTTTTTCTTTTATGTAAATTAGATTCTTCATCAAAAATGGCCACAGCTTCCGATACGTGATAAACTTCCCATTGATATATAATATGCCTAATTGTCTTAACACTAAACGTACATTTAGGGCATTTTACATATACCTATCTTACCATAAGCAGTCAAATGACCCCCCGCATAGGGTACACAAGGTATGCAAAGAATTTTTCTCGGTAAACAATAAGCTAAGAGGAAAACAGAAAACGAGAAATCGAATAATCAGATAATATAAGAATTTGCGAAAAGTCAGATTAGCGAAATGTACGATTTTAAAGTAAATTTTGGAAAAGGGGCCATTTGACCCCGCTTGGTACGTTTAGTGTTAAATAATAAACTTTAGCCAAAAATGAATGTTTTCCCATGAAGATAGATAATATCATGCTTTCGCTCAAACAGATCCTGCAAAATAATCATTTTAATTTAAATTTTCGAATTTCTTAACCTCTTCATTTACGAAAAAGTATGACCATTATTCGTTAATAATGAATGATAAAGGTAAATTTTCAACAAGCGAAACACGCTTTTATCCGTTACGAGGAACAAAAGCGTCGTTGAACGATGATGTTTCCTCAATGGAGGTTTCGTTCACACCCACTCGCGCTTGATCGATTGAAGTAGAAAAGAAAGAACGATTTATAAGGCGGGTACGAGAAGGCGCTTTGATATTCGCCAAGCTTGCCGCCTTGTTTCGTCGAACTATGTACTAAAGATACTCATCTTATTATGCCCACCGACACCTCCCACGTGATGTGTGCATTCACTCTTTTTTTTTTTTGCGCCATTCACCTTTTTTTTTTTTGGCATCCGCATAATTTGCAACTGCAAAACAAGTACAAACTTTCATATTTATTTGTGATATGTTCTGTAACAATGTTCGTACATACAAATATTATTAGCCCTTTGCACTCCGCTGTCGCCGCATAGGCGACACTGTAAGATAAGCTACTACTCCGTTGTCGCCTCGACGGCGACATAAAAAAGAAATACTGTTTTTTGAATTTAAATACTGTTTTTCGAGTTTAAATATTCTTTAGTTTTTCTTGGAAGCCTGTACTGTTAGTTTGTAT